ACCACACTTTTACGAGGGGAATCAATTAATACCGTGACCAATAATTTGGGTTTAGCCCATTTATAATTTCTTTATTTTGCTGTTGTTGTCACTTTGTATTGCAACTTATGTGCTCGTCCTTGTCACCGTACTTCGAATGGCTTACTAGGAAATAAATGTCGGTGTCCTGTGTACGTTAATAGTATGTTTCATCGCCCACGATATATAGGTCCAAATATTTTTTTTTATCTTATTTTACATAGTTATAAATTCATGTCTAAGTTAAAATTTCATATCCAAATATTTCTTTTTAACGAAAGTGAAAGTTGTTAGATATTTTTCTTTGATAAGAGTTTTTAAGAATTTTTGTAATCTTTTATCTAATTTAATTTTTATTTATCATATTATAATAAAATACTACTCCTCCGTTCTTTGTAATTAGATAAGAAACAAATGGATATAATATTTCAATTTTAATTATAAGAAACAAATACCTATTTTAATATGTATTAATTACTAATTTTATTTTATACTCTCATGCAAGTGAAATTACTTATTGATCTATTAACACAACAAGTGACACTGATTGGTAGAGACATTAACTCTTGAGGTATAATATCATTTAATACAATCACTATTTAAATCAATAAATTCAAAGAATATTTTGTAATAAAATTTAGTTCTACGAATATTTCTTATATATAGAACTAAAGGGAATAATTACTAATTAATAAGAAAGAATGCAATTAAAAAAAAAAAAAAAGATCTATATATCATGATTGTTTAAAGAAGAAATAGTTAATTTTTTTTTACTTTTATTTTTTATTTTTAAGTTATTAAATATTTTAATTTTTCATATTTAATCCTTTACATATTAAGTAGCCTCAAAAAAGTTTTCTATATATACATCCCTTTGATTAATTAGCATATTTATCCTTCTACTAAATTAAAGAAAAATATTAAATGATTTTGTGTTTTTGAATATTAACTTCTTATATTTTTAATTAAATTAATTTTAATTTTAATTTTTTTATCTTATTTCTAGGATTCATTTTAGATTTTTATCATTTAAAATGTTCATTAGTTTTTTATCTCTTAAATTTGGATTGATTTGACCTTTTAAAAATAATAATAATTTTTAATTTTAAGACACAATTTTAAATATTTTTTTATTTACTCAAGACTTGAAACTTATCTTATTATATTTATTTATATGAAAATGATTAAACACAACTAAAATTCAAAGCAAAACATTCTATAAATATGGTGAAAAATACATAACTATAAGTTTAAAAAACAATTCAAAATTATAATTTCTTATTATTTTCTAACTACTGATAACATGTATTCCCGTAAATTAAATTAAAAATATTAATTAAATTTTATAATTTTCATATAAATAAATGTAATATTATTAATTTTAAGTCTTGAATAAATTAAAAATTTATTCAAAATCATGTCACAAATTAAAAATGATTATTTTTTTACAAGAACCAAAATGATTAAAATATAAAAAAAAAAACAGAAAAAAAATTAAAATGAACATGTTGACAAATAAATGATCAAATGAATCTAAAAAAATAAAAAAAATAATAATAATTTACCCTTTTAATTATTTAATATTTTTAATAATTAATTAGACTAATTCAAAGATAATAATGCCATAGCTTAAACTTTAGACTCATTAATAAATAAATAAATA